CACCTTGTCAAGGTCAGTCATGAAGATTGATGATCGGTCGCATCTTGTTTGAATGCTTTACTGTATGAACTGATCAGACCTGGTGACGGAAAGCAATTGATGTTCATGCAGAGCAGCACACGGCTAGATTTACCCCGAGTCTAGCGCTTTACAGTCACTATTCTGAGCTGAGCCCTATCTGGCACAAGCTGAAAGCCTACCATCCCCCACCGCCTGAGTCTTGGCGAAGCTTCTGCAGTGCCTGTTTGTCGGCATTTGTGGGCTGTTGTCTTCAGCTGCTGTAAAGGAAGCCGAAGACGTGGTGGCTTTAGTCAAGGAACTCTGACAGTAAACGAAAACCTGTGAAGACCGTTTACGTTACATTCCAGCTTTGGGAGTTCGCAATTTCAGAAAAAGGTCAAAAACTTCTCAGCATGAAAAATCCTCACAGCTTCTGGCCTCGATTCCAAGTTCAGCTCTGAAAAGGCCGCAGAAATCCGTGGCGGTGAGGGAGATCTCGGGTCGAAGTATTGCTGTTGCACAGAGCTCGGTCAATCTAGGCCGGCAAGCACCTTCTCCCTACTTCAATGTGCTGAACGGTTTGGCACCAAAACCCCGGCCACCTTAGGGCCCCACTCCCTCCTTGGAACGGCGAAGGAGCGCCAAAAGGGACTCGCCGTCCCTGAAAGGACCCGGCAGGGGGTGTGAGTCTTGATCTTGTTGAGTGTTCGCATCTCTTCCAAGATCTGGCGTTGAGGTCGCTGATCCACTGTACGATTCTAAGGTACCAGCAGATGCTCGAATCCACAGACCGTGAAAAGTCGGCACAATCTGCGAATCTAGTGACTTACAGTCGCTCAGTAGTGCCTAGATAGTCCAACCTCCTATGAGCAAATTCCAGAAGCCCAGCCGCCTCGACGGTACGTGAATGACACTGCCGACCTCCCAAGGACTGAAAAAACAGTCTGGATCTTCTAGACTTGGAGAGCGCGTTACCTAAGAGAATCTTGAAAGCTCGGGCTGGAAAACCAATCTCAGAGAAACGCAAAATAAGCCTAGAATAACCCTAAAATTGACCTAGAACAAACCCAAATTAGACCTAAAATAAACCTAAATTAAACGAGATAAACCAAAAATCAACGCAAAATCAGACCTAAACAAGCGTAGAATAAACATAGAAGAAACGTAAGAAAAACTTGGAAAATTCAGAATAAACGTAAAATCAACCTCAGCTTCGCTTGCCCGGGCCACACATTGCCCAGTTGTTTTTAACGTTTGTTTATTTTCACCTCTTTTGAGCATGTTTTACCGAAAACCTTTAAAAAAAAAAACATCAAAAATGAATTTAAAAAAAAAAAAAACATTGGAAAAGGTGTTACAAAAGAACGTGCATCTGTGGCCTGGGCAAGCGATGCTGAGGTTGAAGGTTTTCCTACGCATAGTTCACGTGTGTTTTGCGCTTATTCTAAGTTGTCTATTCCAGCTTTTTTTTGGATTTATGTTGGCTTTGTTCTACGTGTTTTTAAGGCTTATTTCGGATTTTCATGTGAATTTTAGGATTTTAGGTCATGTCTAGGCTCATTTTACTTTTGGGGTTTTTCAAGGATTGGCTTGGAGCTGGGTTAGCTTTTCTACGTTTATGTCAAGAGTCCTTTTGAGCAAACACATCCCTGCACAGGCAGGGCGTCGGGGCGCTGAATAAATTACAGCCCTTGTTGCTGTGCTGCCTGGCAAAGCCACTCCAAGAAGACCCCGAGTATGATATTTGAGTGTGTTACAGCAACCTGCTGAAAACATACACTGGACAATACTTTCACCACTTCAGCCGTCCTACGACTCTTACAGCTCAAAGGGTACCAGCCACTTGGAGCCCTGTGAGTATCTTCAGCTCAGTTCCACTCTCTGCAAGCCCCTCCAAGGACCGATGAGCGCACAGGATTACAAGAAATGCAAGCCTCACTCTTACACAACCTTGGATAACTTACAAAGGTGGGATCGTGCATGCCAGCCTCTGCAAACAGCCCCAACAGCGCTGACTCCAAATCTGAACTCGGCGCCCGCGGCGCTGGCGGCAACTGGCAGGGCTGTGGGCGAAGGTACAACGCTCAGAAGCTTAAGCATAAGTAGGGTTTTGGCTGGTGTTCCTGGCGCTGTCAACCCACAACGACTACCAGCCAAGTACACAGTCACGCTGTTGATAAGTACCGTGTTCTTGGACCTCTGCTTGCAACGAGCTTCTTGAATCTGGAGTACCGCTGCAAACACCAGACTGGCTCTTTAATCCTTGTCGTATCAGTTGCCCTGCTACACTTTTAGTTTCGTCCACGCACATTCCTGCATTACCCCAGCAGGCTATGTCCCGGCATGTACTGGAGATTGGGACCCGCACTAGATGCAGAGTGCCACTCAAGTCATTTCGCGGCGGAGGCCCGCTGGCAAGGCTCATTGCAAAACTAAACGCAAAAAGCTGCAGAATGCAGTTGCCCAATACAGGCATTTGTGCTGGACAACAATCTTGAGGCTGCTTGAACATGAGACTGTGGCTGCAGCGGTGAAGGGTAGTGCCTTCAAACTGGTGCGGGCAGAATTTGGGCAGGTGTACGCAGGGCTTTTCTCATTGACCTTGGACCATCAAGTAAGCTGTCCTCGAAACAGGCGGCATGGCACATCTTCAGGCACCCAGGTGTCTCTCGATTGAGGCTAAAATCCTTTGCGTATCATAGAGTCTTCAGCCCCCAGACGGGTCGTACAAGCTGCAAGGCCTAGAGAAGGCTTGAAAGCACCTCAAGGTGAAGATTCGGAACAGATGATGCCGGTGGGAATGTTTGGGCAGAGCATAGTTCACATGGCGTCAAGATGCGCAACACACATGCGCACTTGGATGGACTGTTAGATAGGGCGTGCTTGTGGAACTGGAGCATGAGCAACCCACCTTGGACCAGCCTATGTAAATGGCCCCTCCCAATCCCTAACTGCAACGAAAGGACATCACTGAGCAAGAAATCTATCTTTGCAACATGCCAATGCCAATGAGCTCCAACCCCAATGAGATTTTCCACCGTTCAACGTTGCATACGCTGCACAAACACTGCCATCATACTCGAAGAAATCTTTATGCAACCTGGACAGTGGGACCCAAAGCTGAAGCGCGGTCCCTCCGATTCCCTCATGGAATCGTGATGCGGCAAAATTTGAGGGCACCAGTCTCAGAGGCTGACCACAGCAGGAGACAAGCCTGCTGCGATGACAGCCGAATAGCACAACTCTGGCGTCGCTGCGCCGTGAACAGTGAAGGCTCTCCAAGACTGTCACCGTACACAGCCAGCGGCCCGACACATAGGGCTCGGGATCGCCAGGCTGATGTTAAGAGGTGGCGAGGGTCCGGCTGCGGCTCTTTGCCTTCCTGACCACTGGGAAAGTAACACTTACCTCCAGTACTTTGCAAGCATCTGTAACCATCATCTGGGCAAAAGCCGGGGAAAAGTCTGGATTGGTAGATTGGCGATAAAATGTTTTCTGTATTGCGTTCAATGAGAATAGTAAGGAGTAATTGTAACAATGATCGTGATAGTAATACCATTACTGATATGATCATTTCACTTACTGTACTAGTACTATTACTATAAAGATTACCATCATTACTGCCATCCAGGCAGCGAAGCCAAGGCGTTGTGGCTGCACAGCTCAGCTCTGCTTCTGCTGGCAACCCTGTGTATTAATACTTCGAATTATTACACATACCGAAACTAGCAACAAGAGTAATAATAGTCATAATGTCATAATACTAATACTAATAGTAATCAAACTATAAAATGAGGAGAATAATAGTAATAGCAGAAATTGGCCTGCAAAAGTTGCAGACGAGGATGAAAGCATGCGATGGTTCCTTCAATTTGGTGCCGGCATCAGACTTGCCAAAAAAAGCATAACATGTAGCAATCTCTAACCACTGCACCACTAAGCCCGAATTCAGTATAAGCAAATGCCGGCACGGCACACTGTACAAATTCCGGTCTGCGGAACCACCTGAAGCCTCTCTGAGGGCGGTAAAATGCAGGTCCCGAGTACTTGCGTTTGGCAAGAAATTGCCGAGTAAAAAGCCTGCGCAGCTGAAGCTATGTTGTCCATGGCTTTCAGCCTGAGACTGGGTAGTTGAAACACGCCGAGAGCTGAATCACAAGCTACCTGTCGAAAAAGAAAGCGTCAAACGCCTGGGCATGATGCAAACGTTGTTTGCGAGTCAGTCCTTCGCACATGACCCGCTCCAACAACGTAAACACCAAGGAGTGCACACAAGCGGCAAGGATACACGCTACTACCCAAGTGGACAGCTTTTCTCGTCAAGTTTCAAGGCTCTTCCTGTCAATACTTAGCATGTGCATCACCCACCCTTTGCGTGCAGAAATCCAGCCAAAAGCATATAAAATCGAGTAGCGGGTATCGGCAAGAGGAGGTTCTACCAGGATTCACTCACATTATGCTCTGCTTCTCTTCCAATGGTGCTTTCCCTACTTGCAACCTGGCCCGTTGACACCTCCTGCGAAGGTGAAACAAACAGCCTTCGAACATAAAGGCAAAATTCCAGAACAGCCGAAACCACACTTCACATCTTCTTAATGATTTGTCAGTCTGGCTGCGAAATTTCTGCTGCTCCAGATGACCCCAAGCAGCGGAGGACTGCTGGGTAAAGTTGGCTCTGTGAGTACTAGATTCAAGTCCAGGCAAAGGCCTCGCTCTGTTGAGGGGCAAGCATGTCGCAAGGAGAATCTCCAGATATGCTTCCCGAACACCGTCACGAGAGACCCTTTTCAAAATTCTGCCAACCCTCCAGAGGGGCATGTGTTTCCTGGCGCCTGAATACTACTTGTGCAGTTGGATCCTATGGCTCAAATTGAGGCTTAAATGAGGCACCGGCACAACCAGGTCTGGGTTGATGCAAGGCTGCATGCCTCTCAGTACACCTGCAAGATACACTAAGCTTACACACTAGGACCGCTAGCACCGCGAGGCCGCTAGCAGTTCTAGCTAGTCCGTGCACTGCTGCTTGACTGCGCCCTGAGGTCCCGAAAGCTCATGATGTTCCAGTGGCCAGAGAGCAGCTCAAGGACCTTAGTTGGCCGAGGATACGAAGCTTGAATGGCGAGACCTGCAGACTACTGGCACCGAGCAGCCATGGAGTGCGAGCCGTCTCTGTTTGCTTGCGCGGCCAAGTCGTACGGTGTCCGACCACGGGAAGTCTTCACTTCAGGGTCGGCCCCCAGCCGGATCAGCTCACGAACCATGCGATGATGCCCTGAGCAAGAAACACGAGAAGAGTACAAGTACCGCCACTTGTTGGCTGATGCAGAATGCTTGCTGGCGAGGCTCCCAGCTGTGCAGCTCTGTGTATCGGGAAAATGGTCTCTTTGCGGAGGAAGGACGACATGCTCCGTGCGGGTCTGGGCAGGTTGACCCCTTGGAAGTCATACTTCTCAAGGTAATCCGCAACCAAACTCCGACGCTCCAGATCCAGACGGCGACGGCGAATGCTGCTTGTGCAGCTTATTTTCACGCTGTCTGTCAGTTGAGGTACCCCCATTGAGGAGGCTGTAGGGACTCTCTCTACCGAACAGAAGCCATCCGCATTCTCATCCTCATCAAACCCAATGCATATGGACTCCTCCTCTGGACACTCCGTCGACATAGGCGTCGGTGCGTCGATCTGCTTCTCCAGCTTCTCGTCCAACATGTTCCATGCCTCTGTTTTATCCACCGTAAGACCTCGGTCAGAGTGTCAAGGACAAGAACGAGGTGCTGACAAAGGGGAATGCTACGTTTATCTTTTGGGATCTTTTGGGCCAAGGCGCCATCGCCCTGCAAAGTGACTTCTGGGCGAATGTTTCCGGTGGCTGAAAGATCTACGAGGCGCATGGCCCAAAGGATAACACACCCTGCGGTAGACGAAACCTTGTGAGCCCATGCTGAGAGCAGCAACACAAGCATCTGCTGCAGTTACAGCAGATTAGGTGGTAGTATTACTATTATTACTGTTATTACTATTATTAGTATTACTATTGTTACTATTATAGGGTAGTTGGCCCGCTCATGTGCTGCCTCTTGTACGAGCTGCACACTTCACAACCGTCTGCGGACAAAGAGACCTAGAGGACCCCCCCTGAGGAGTTGCACGACACCTCTACTTCTGTCCAGATCTCAAGCACTCAGAGCACCTTTTTTTGCAGTTCAACGAGACACACTTCGTCGCACCTGCTGGAAAAGTAGGAGCAGCATAAGAGCCTTGGGTACAACACCGCATGTTTGGGTTCGTGCATCCTCTGGGCTGGAGATTGCTGCCAGAAGCTCACCCCATGCCTGGTCTGAACCGAAAAACCTGGTAACCTTTGCAAGAGGATCCCAACAGCTTCTTGCAGGAAGGTGCGGAGCCAGCAACGATGGGCCAGTGCAGTGAGCGCGCGCTCGGCTTGGCGTCCAGCTGCGCAACCTGACCACAACAAGGCCCAGTTTTTCTTCGTTTCGTGCAATGCGTGGCTGCCGGGTAGCAAAGCACAGATGCCATCTTACTGCTTGAGAACACGTGTAATTGTAATTGAGCCTGAGTCCTGTTCAGAGAGGCCAGCATGTGCAACAAACAGAATATTCAGAAATCTTTTAGATGTCAGACGCCGCAGCAGCAGCAGCAGCAGCAGCAGCAGCAGCAGCGGCCCTCATGTTGACCGAAAATCCGCCTCGGAGTTTTCTTTGCCCTCCACCGGCCCGCGTAACTCAACGAAGTCAGCAGGAAGGGACCTGATCACTGAGCACGCATCACACGTCATCATCCTACGCTGTCTTCAGCTGTGTCCTGGATTGGAATGCAGCATGTGAAGCCCTAACGGCGTATGCAACACCTCATGTATAAGGCCTTGTCACAGGAGCCCGCGGTTCTGCTGAAGAACTCCATAACTAAAGGAGATGCCGCGAGGCTCGACATACTTTATGCCATGTGATCTAAACACGGTTGCCCTCCTCTACAGAGTCAACAGCATACCGCAGGATACCGTAGGCCTGCTTACTTCAAGGCCAAGAGGCTTCAGCGCATCGAGCGGAGGCTGCCTAGAATGGCAGAAAGCTGCCATCTGTGAAATGCTCTGGTAAGCGCTCTGCAGCCAAAGCTGCAACTCGAGGCATTTTCTCGTCTTGCTTGGGAGCTGCGATCTAGCTTCATTATTGCGACGATTCTCGCACGAAGGACATGCTCAGGTGCGCTACAACCGCCCAAGTCAAAGAATCAGAGCCAGAGAACTGGTCAAGCAGACAAACCCTTGACGTCCTGGATAGCTCGGCTTGAAGCTGCGGATAGAAGCCAAGAAATGTGTGGCTGCCCGCCTGCGGTCAATGAGGTGGCTGTCTCAGAGTATGTGATCGCGTTGGCCCGCCAGTTTTGTTCTAGATTCTTGAACAACTCCAGAGCCTCAAGCCAGTCGGAGCCACAAGCCGTGATTGCGGCATTCCAAGTAATCAAATTGCAGCGCAAGCAGTCGCCCTGGAGGGAGCTGAGCAGTGCCAAAGCCTTTCCGGAGCCTGTGCTCGCACCGGCCAGGGCCGCCATGACGGAGTTGTAGGTGATCAGGTCAGGCATCAGGCGACTGGACCGAAGCTCACAGAGCAGTGTTAGGCAGCGCCTCCACTTCTGAGCTTTCTCACAGGTGCTGATGGCCGCGTTGCAGATTGCAGTGTGGAGTTTGATGCTTCTGCACTGCAGCCTGGCCAGCAACTCGGACACAGGTCTCCAACGGCCGCCAGACTCACAGGCGCTGACAGCCGCGCAGTGGCTCCGCACATTGGCCACGCTGATTCCGTGTTCCTGCAATCGGAAGGCCCACTCCCACTGCTCGCTGCGAGCACAGGCATCAATGCCTACAGTGAGTATGGCAGCATCCTCTTTTAGGCCTGACTCATTTGTACGTGCTACCAGCCAGACAAAGGCCTCTTGCCACCGCCAGGCCATGGAGCAACTAGTGATACCGACAGCATATGTCACGGCACTCGGCTGCAAGCGATCGTCCCGGACTCCTCGAAGAAGCTGCCAAGCATTCTGCCACTGCCAGCAACGCTGACACGCACTCGCAGCAGCATTGTAGGTGACCACATCACGACGAAGCTTGCCTGTGCACCGCCTCTCTGCCAGCAAGCCCAGGCTCTGTTGCCACTGTGCCCCGCGTGATCCCTGTAAGCTTAAAGCACTCATGGCTGCATTGAAGACAATTAGATTAGTTCTCAGGAATCTGGCATTACACCCCCGCAACAGTTGCAAGGCTGCGTGCCATTGCTCACCACGTTCAAAAACTGTGATAGCTGAGCTCTGGCAGACCACGTTGCCTTGAATTGACGAATTGCACATGCCTTGCATGAGATTACTGGCAAGAACCCACGTCGCGGAGCTGCCACCACCCATGCCAGCCAGACAGCCAGCAAAGGTGAACACGTCAGCACGCAGCTTGCATGCTACCAGAGTAATGCCAAGAAGGGCCCCTGCCACCTCCCAAGCACAGCTACAGGCGCTGATTGCTGTGTTCATCGTCTGATTCTCAGTCAGCATGCCCACTTGCAAGAGCCTCTCCAGTGAAATCAATGCACTTTGCCAACGCATGCCCCTCTTTTGCGCTTGAAGAGCCGTGTTCTGAGAGATGATGCTGCCGCGCACACCCCTCCTCGCAAGTGAAGCTAGAACTGACGCAGCAGAAAGCCATTGCTGAGCACGAGCACACGCAATGGCAGCAGAATTGCAACTGACCACGTTCCACGCCGTACTCATCTGCACCAGCTTCCCAAGCAAGCAAATCGCCTGTTTCCAATTAGCATCAGATGCAAAAGCACCTAAAAGGCAGTTGTAGTTGATGAGGCGAACTTGGAGCCTGGCGGCCTGGATCTCAAAAACCAGTGCCAGAGCCTCCCGCCAGGTGGCCTGCATCTCACCTCACCTCCCAGCCTTCGAAGCCTTCGATCTCTGAAGGCCGATGGACGCAAGGCCAGGCCCGAACTTGCAAGGCGCTCAGGACCCATCATGGGGCCCAGACTATCTCAGCCTCAGAAAGGCCTAGAAGAAAAGCGGCGTACTGATGATGGGCTAGGCATTGCAGGGCGCTCGTGGCGACCCAGGCTGAGCCGAAAAGGGGAATCGCTTGGATGTAAAACCGGCCGAGAACCAGAGGTCACGTGGGTGCACTGTATAGCTCGCTGAAATGTTTAAAAGTCGTTGGCCATGGGAACCCAAGCTTCAACAAAAATACATACTGCTTGAGGGTGGACCGCCCAATTCACAAACTGTCCGACGACAGCATGGCAGATCAGAAGTGCTGTGGATGCGTCAGCCAGGGCACCCCATCTGCTCTCCGCTTTTCCAAGTCACTTCCGCCAGCATCTGCATGCCAGCCTTGCAGCACATGCAGCACTTCAGAAGCTCTTTGTGGCCTCTTCCTGATTCGGCTCAGTCCAACAAAATTCGAGGCTCGGGCCCACTTCCCTCTGCCATTCAAGTCGCCATTGGTGACTGCCAAGACGGATAATGACAGCACAGCTGCGCTTGGAGCTAGCAACATTCTCACTGCAGCAACTTACATCGATGTCCATGCGTAGCATGAGAATCAGTACGTCAAGAGCTCAAAGAGCATTCTAGCTATCAACAATCATTCAATGATACCCGCCCTGTGCGCCAAATCCGGCCTTTCGCTTGGGAAGGCTGAATTAGACTTGCAATACCTCAGCACATCATCTCGTCACGTTGGGAGCATTCAGCACAAGGTATCCGCCATCAATGCTTTACGTGCTGTCTCAACATCCGCATGCGGCCCAGATGCCCAGCTCAGTGGCATATTTAAAGAGTCGCCGGCTTATGCGACTCGCCACCTGCCAGTGACAAGTCGTAGTGCGAGAAGTTGAGGCGAAGTTGAGCACACTACAGGCATCTGTACACAATGCAGCTGTGCAGCTGGCCTTCAGCATTAATGCTTCGTTGCTTGGCAAGTCCGTGCCGGGCAGCATGGACACGTCCCGCTGCACAGCAACGAGAATCCAAATCTCCTTTCTTTTGTAGGGACGACAGATGCGGTCTGCAGAGCCCTCCCTGACGGCCTGCCTTACCGTTCACAGCATCCGTAGCCAGGATAAGGCCACGCATGGTCAGGAGATTTAAGAAGAATTCGCCTGGCGCTTCTGTGCTGCAGCATGTCATCCAAGACGCCTTCATGCCCAAACCACACATACAATTCCAACTCTCCCGTGACTGCCCTGACAGAGGTATCTATTCATGATCTTGCACTGCTGAATGCTGCACCTGATTTCCGCCGGTTGACAATGACTGATGTGAATGGCCTTGGTTTGACGGTCGGAGATTATCAGAAAGGTCAGAAACGTCTTGGCCTCAAGAGTTCCCAATCATCTTCTTGATCTAGGAAATGAGCTGCACGCAAGGCTAATTGAATGCAAGTTCGCCTCACCGGGTTAAGCACTATTCACATCAACCTTGCTAGCGAAACACAATTTGTGCGGTTTATGCGGCTCAAATACCACGTCACCTTCAGCCTGAAGCCTCCACATCAAAAGACTGTCAGTTCTAGCCAAAGGTCGCTCCAGTTTCGCAAGCCTCTCGCAGTGACAGGCCAGCGACTTGTGGGCAGCCCTCGCTAAGGAAGCGGCAGTTCTCACCTGGAGAAGGTTATGACTTCAGGGTCTTGAGCTGGACATGCAATGAAAAAAGGCCTACACATGCGACAGCTTCCGCAGCATTCTGCAGTTACGAGTACCAACCCTGTCCACGTCACCAATTGACTCCTCCGGGGAATAGCCCGTCAGGCGATGAAACTCCTCAGAGACCGCCTCAGCATGTTTTAGTTGGGCTTCATCATCCTGTGTCATACGGCCCAAGGTCTGCAACCCAAGGAGCTATGAGCTCGAAATCCAGACCGGTCGGATCTGCAATTGCGACCTGGTCTGCAGACATTTGACGGGGCCAGTGATGATCCAGCTTCTCATCTCGGAATCTTGCAAGGAGACATGTGCTCAGTCGTACGAGGCGCGGGTAAGTAAAAGGCCCTTGATGCCCTTGGTAGGTGCTGAGGCAACAACAGCCAAACCTGATAGCCTCTCGTGTGTGGTTTGGTGTGGCGAGGAAGTTCTGCGCTAAACCAAGTGTTTGCAAACAAGGTCTGGCATCATTGATGCTGGCACCCTTTCATCTCTGGGCAGCTTATGCACCATAGAATCTCCAGTCTCCGCACCACTATGAGTCTTTGTGCCAGGTGACACTGAAGTCACATTCGGACACCGCTGCACAGATCGCCTTGGAAATGAGGTCATCCTGCTCCTCCTGACAAGGACGTCAGCTGCCTCGAGAACTTAGTTGAAAAGCTCTCATTTCTGCCATTAGCATCGGTGGTCAGAGTGTGTCCAGTGCTCTCACTTTTCTCTGCTCTGCAGGTAAATCTCCCAGTAAAACTCCTAATCCTCTGACACCTTGAGCAGATTTGTTGCAGCTCTGTCTGAACACGAACCACATGTGAGCTACAGGCAGTATTACCGAAGTAAATACTAATTCTACAAGAGGGACCCTATGTCCACTGTTAGAAAGGCTAATATTGACAGTAGCTCATGTGAAAACGGAAACTTGGCTCAAAAGAAACAAAAGTCACAGCTGTCTCGCGAGCTCCTCGTGTGTCTCCTGCTTCTCCTCCTGGGACTCCTCTTGGATCGTCCCGGCGAAGTTTGCCAGGTCGAGGTCGTCAAAAGGCATCTGGCAGGCTGTAAGCAACACCAGCAATCAGGACTTATTGTATGAAACCTTCATCCTGCCTTTCACCTACACCAAGCCCAAAAGCCCAACAGCAAAGGAACTGCAGCAACATGGGACAGCTTTACCTAGCTCCTTCACAAAGGTAGGAGGTCTTGTCCTCAGCCCTACCATACCAACACATGTGCAACCGTCATCAGGCTTCTCTGCCTCTGGCCGACTTAGAGGTGGACACGAAGACTGTCGGCCGAATTGGCCTCCGCACGCAGCGAAGAAAGCACCAACAAGCTGTAAGAGCAGCTTCCCGCTTTAGGTCGACCAATTTGGCAAAAGGTGAGGAGGCTTTTTGGGCCTCTCATCTTTAAGGAGTCTCTATTCCCCCGAGCTGGCCTTGTCTTGGGTCGGTCGTCTGCCGTCGGCTCATGGCGGGCTCGGAGCATTTTCGCATCCAGAAATCCCCTTGCCTGCGAGGAATTCACTTCTCATGCTGTCCCAAAACAAAAAGCCCCACGGTGAAGCCTTGTGGCAAAATCGGTGAATTGTCGAGACATCAGCTCCTGCGCGAGGCAAAGACTCAAAATGATGAGGACCACACGGGCCTAAGTTTGCTACACAGAAGTCCAGCCGAACCTTTCATCCTGAACTCAGATGATTGTCCTTTCGCGCATCTTGTGAAGATGAGCTGCAGACTTGAAAACTTAGTAAAACCGTCTCACAACCCTCTCATGGTCTCCAGAGCCGCCGCATCGCTGAACTCTGTGCACTGTCGGCTCAGAGACGCTGCGGAGGAGAACTCGGAGCTGGCATCCTTAGCAAGTTCCACGAAATTGGTCTACAGACCCCTCGCAAGTCTGGCTTTTCCTTCTAAACAGGTTCGGGAAAAAGAACCAAAGACGTCCTAAGAATGTCACCCCCAGCGGTATGAGGTCTGCGGGACTGCAAGCTCATCCAGCTGCACGCATTGGCACACAGTTCCCGATTCGGTTCTTTGGCATGCACTTCCTGCAACCCAAGCCACCTGCAGCATAAGCAAACTGTAGCAAACTGCTAAGCAAACTGTAGCTTATCGGCGCTTCACGGCCAGGGCAAGGCACAAAGAATGAAGTGTTGCTTTTGGATATCTTGGCAACACACCCTCCTTGCCTTGCCGTTGGGAACACCTACCAGTTCCTTGCATTCTTCAATAGACATTATTTGTGCCACCCAGGGACACCGTCTGATGATGGGGCCATGACATCTCGGGCCTCACACCCCGCAGCGAGGCTGTCCTGGTTTCTCAGGTAAAACTGCGACATCTTGTTGTGGAGGGCAGGTCTCTCACAGGTTAATACTAGCTCCAGTTGCTTGTTTCGATTCTGTCAGGCTCGCTGTAGGTAAGCAGTCCTCCGGGATGCAGTCCATCATCACATCAGCAAAACCACTATGCGGGACTGGTGGTGTGTCTGCCGTGAGGGCAGAAGAACTGCCAATGACTTCATATCTTGAAGACACACCACAGGATGGAAGCTTCTACAACACATAATGGACGTGATGGATTGAGATCGAAACCTGTCTGATGCAGGCTGTGCTTTAGGGGATCTCATGGGTGTACCCAAACGGGCGTGGGGCTCGCAGCGGGTCACACAAGTTGGCGCAAGCGAAGGCAAGGGGCAACACGCTACAGATTCAAAGGCTACTTGACTGCGACAGTGTCTGTAATAGGATCACTCATAATTAGTCTCATCCACGAAGATCGGATGAAGTCTCATGGCTGAGCGGAAACTGCTTTCAGCCGTTGGTGCATCTTGCAACCACATGCTCCCAGGGTTTTATTGCCATAGCCGAGGTATGTAAAGCATGGCTCCTGCAGATTTGGCAAGGGAGCATATACCACTAGCGTGAAGCTCTGTACACCTTCTGAATCTGCATGGCCTTCAGAGGCCTGCAACACTCCTGCAAGTTGCAGTAGCCCATAGGCACCTTTGCAAGGAGAAACTCCGTTTCTGCGCCTCATTCAGCTCCACTTGAGGCCTTCCGTTCGATGCGACGAAGTTCTCTGGGTCGCCAGGGAGGTCTCTCTTTGCCTAAGTAGGATACCAGCAGCCTTATAGAATGTCACAGAAACACAGAGCTCATAAGTTGGAGTGACAGGACCAACTGCCTGCTTAGCCCTACTACTTCGGGCCCAGCAACCCCACCGAATCGAGGCCAATGAAACGACAGCAGGCACGCCTCTCTCGAGATGGCTTCGGAGGGAATGGATATCTAGTGTTGGCGTGGCCACCAGGGTGCCTTAGAGGTTTCTAAGATCTCCCACCAATGGTGCCACAAAAACACTGCAGTGATAGTAAGTTTCAGCGCAAGGCACAGCCGCTGCCAACAGTAGATTCTAACCGAAGATGGCTCTCGTCTGGCAGCATAAGCACCAAAGTTACAGCAGCTTCCAGGGTACCAGATTTCGTAGACCAGCTGTCTGACCAATCCGACCAGCCACCTCAGGGACCGGGAGATGCAGGGCATGCACTGAAAATTTTGTTTCAAGGGAGAAGTACCTGAGATCATCTCGAGGTTGAGCACCACATCTTCTTCGATGAAGCTCAGCTGCAGTGCCATTTGTAAAGGATCCGCAGCTGGTCCATCAGCCCACTCAAAGGCCAAAGGCGCGGTCTTCATCTCCTCTGGCCTCCCTACTTCTGACTCTACGCCTTGCTGCATTTGCTGCAACCTCAGGACTGCAGCAAAGAGCAAATTGCTTGGGCTGGAAGTAGCCGCAAGCTGAATCGCCGCGATAGCACTAAGCAGGGCTGCGCGGGAGTGGAATGCGGGCCAATGGTCCTCCTCCGTGGGAACCCAACCTGCCAGCTGACCTGCCTTTTCGCGCCAGCGCAACAGTTTCAGCGCGCTGAACTGCGCTAAGGCTTCCTCGAGCCATTTTTGGCCCAAGCTGGCCAGCGGAAAAGCGAATTGAACAGGCAGGCGGGTCAGAGAGCTTGTAAGCTCAGAGATCCTCGCAGTTCTCTCAGCAACGGGAGAAAGAAGGGCATTCACGGCAGGGGAGACGTGTGCAAGCCTGCAGAGATCTCGCGGTGCAGCCACGGCAGCCACTGTCCACAGAGCATCGCCCAAGGCTGGCAGCAGGGCACCCGATGCACCCGAGTGCATGGCAAGCTCTAGCACCCTGAGGCCCTGCAATAACACTCAAGTGCATTTGGCATGCCAATCTTCGCAGTGAAGGCCTGCTTCTGCTTGGAAGCTAAGGGATGTAGCTAGACCTCGGGCTAGAATATTTTGCTCAGTCTGATAAGCGAAGTTAAGTCTACCTTCTCCCGTTCCGACAACTTTTCCATGTTCATGTTCTTTCTCGACTGAATCCTCTGATGCTGACAGGTCCTCTATGGTACACGTAGCACCATCGAAGATGGTTGCTGGTGGTGGACAGCTTATCACTAGATTTCTGAGCGAACATCATGCAATTCAAGTGCCCCCCCGGAGAGCAGTCAGGGTTGCATGCCATCAGCACCAGTAGGTCCCGCATGTGTTCAGAAGATAGCTTTTTCGGCTGGCTGGAAAAGAGTTGCTGGCCATCAAAGAATCCATTTGGATCTCCTTTTCAAACTATTCTGTTCACATGGCTGCTTCTCTTTGAAGCAGCTTCTGGGCATAGGGTTTTTGAAAACTTGACGACTAGGCGAAGGCTACCCAAGCCCACCCGCCCATCGCCTTCAGTCGCTGTAGAGCACTACCAACACGCCCTTCGCAAAGGCTCCTGTGACAAGGCAAGAGTTTGTACAACAGAGAGCTTGCAAATGGCTGCCAGTTCGCAACGGTGCTCTCTGACAGTGTTCCGACATACGTTGCCAGCCAGCACCGGCTTGTGGATTTTTGAGCATCTGCAATGCCTGGATGGAAGTTCCTTCTGGCAGCAATCATCAGTCAAGGCCTCGGCTAAATTCCAAATCTCAAATCTCTTACCTGCAGCGCAACAGGCGTCGTGCGACAAAAGCCTCATCCACCCAGCCACCGGCCTGCGCAGACGTTTAAGTACGGCTTGCTCTGCATGCGGGCATGTAAACAACTGCAAAAACCACTGTTCCTGTTCTGTCAGAAAACCATCCCCATCGCTATACTGCGCTGCTTGCCGCAACTTCTCCTCAAGAACAGCCTGCTAAAACCAAGTCTCTTGCAACGTCCGCGTAAAGCCCATCCAGCCTTGCCCTGCGGATGCTCCCAGGCAATTGGAGGAGCCTCCAAGAGGACATCCACCTCGGCAAATGCAAATTTCTGGCCTGTCAGGACGTGGGTGTTCTCATGTCCTGCCGCAGCAAGCTGAGCAACGCACGCGGCAAGTCCCGCGAGGAGTCACTGGCCTTGGGCTGTCTCATAGCACGTGTGAACGATGTCCAATGAAGGACAGGCTCTTCTTTGGGGACCCAACGTGCCACCAACCAATTTCGAAAAGGTTTCTGCAACCCAACCAGCGGCAAAGCCTCGAGATGGTCGATGGTCGCATGAGGTTGCAAAGGTCTCCATACCAACGACTCAGCGCCGCCGGAGCCCCGCCTGGACACCAGCGAGTGTCCGCCTCCTGAGCCAGGTCCAGAAGCGCTCTCTCGACCTCGTCAAAAATTAATCGAGGTTCGCAAAAGCCAATGTGCATGGCTGGTGTTTTGCGCTGGCTATGCCTCAGGGTCAATGTGAAAAAGGTTGATCACGGGACTTCCTCAAACTGCCGGAAAGTCAACCATGAGTAAAAGCATTGGTCTTGCTCTCCCGTAAATTAGAGTATTCAGATATTCTTGGCCGCCAAGGTTTCAGACATCCGTTGCATCACAAAAGCTCGTATGTGCACGCCAGTAAGATCAGACTCTAGGGTTCCAAGCGCCTCTGCGAACCGAAAGGAAAACATGGCAAACAAGTTCACCAGCCTCGTACAACTAAAATGGAAGAAGGAAACGGCTCCCCGCTAGCTTGCGGCTCTGTTTGTGTCTATTGAATGGAGCTCTGGGCTCTTGCCTCGACATGACCCTGATCAACGTCTCTTCTCACTGGCTACCACAAAACAACGCCAAGAGCCAAGCACTACAAGCCCTGCCAAGGACACTTGAGATGCTGCATGAAGCTTGTGGGTCCCCAGCCCAGCCCTGCGTCTGAAAGGCAAGTTCCGGAGCCTGAAACATCGAGGCTCTCAGACTCTCAGCTCTCCGTCCACAGCATGCTGCCAGCCTTCAGGGAAACCTGCGCTGCGTTGTCATTGTGAGTGTCGGCCTAGCGCTAAAATTTGGGGATTTTCGAATGCTATGTACACAGAGCGATTTGCACCATTTTGGCCAGGCAACTTTGTTTTCACTTAAAGCTCTGGCCTCCTCACCCGCACAATGGGCTGCATCAGCCAGAACTTTCACGATGGCCACCTCGAATTTCGAAGCGGTTCAATCGCTCAAGGCTGGCTTATCCTCACAGCCTTCATGCCATGTTGCAAGTGCAATATGGTCCGCTATGCACTGCAAAACTAATTTGATGAACTCGTCTGTGCACTATGTTGAATGAAAGACTCTTGCTCCTGCCTCTAATTTTGCCTTGGCGGCCTCAAAGCAGCGGGATGCCTCACACCAGTACAAGGTTTGGAGATCTACCAGCATTACGTCTTGCCCTGCAGCTTTTCAGCACACGCCTGAGCAAGGGCCATTTCGCTTTGGGCCTTTCGCAGCAAGAGCTCAACAGAGTGAAGTCGTCCGGCTCAAAACTCAGGATGTAGCCTCTTCTGAAAAAGTCTCGCCTTCGCCTGCAGATTTGTCAATGGAAAGGCGGCTGCATAACAGACCAAAGCTGAAGCCTCCAAGCCGAAGCAGCGCCTCCTGCAAGTCCACACGGCGCCCACCTGTCTCGTAAACGGCTGCGAAACGGCCCAGGGGCCCAGGTCGGGGCTACGAGGTGACTTTGAGGTTTCCGAGATCTGCGCCAAGCCTTGATCCAGTACAACAGGACGATACCGAGTGTCACGGCAGTTGGCCACCGCACCTTTGAGAAAGCGCGACATCGCACGACTCTTTCTCAAGACATGCCCCAAACTGCTGGGATAGACACGATTGGCAAAGTGGAGGATGTTGTTGCGCAGACCCTGCAGTGAGCAGGAATTAAAGTGCCTACCAAACCATGCGATCCAGAACGCCTGTGTACCACGTATGGCTCCAGAATGTTCACAATCTCTACCACTTATCAGTAACAGTCAGCGAGTTTTGAATTATGCTTCCACCGCCTCCACCCCTCCGCCTTCTTCCCTTTCGTTCGACATCAACACATGAGCACCATCGTTGAAAAGACACTGGCTGCTCGCCTTTGAGTTATTATAAGATGGTGCCATATGAGGACACGTGTGACACGGAATCGCAACAGCTGACCCAGACGTCCTGCAGATGAGCAGGAGAGGCTTTGGGCAGCTTCTCACTGGCATGCCTGGGCCATAGGGCTGTGAGCCGTGTCCAAGGTGTCTGTTGCCCCAACCTTCGGAATCGGTGGTCACGCATGACCTCCACAATAACAGCAAGAGAATAGCAGTGGAGCACTCAGGCAAAAAAAACAACATCTGCTTGTCATCTCATCTAGACACCTGGAGGGACACACCTGACACTTGCACCACAAGCCGAATGCAGCCTCATTCAGACTGTCGGCTCTGCTGAATCTGAACTCAACAGCCCCTTTTGGTCCGGAACACCACAACTGCGGGCTCTGATGGCAGCATTCCTCTCCGGTTCGAGCTTTCAAAAGAGTTGGCCCCTACCCGCGCGTCAGCATCTGAGCTTTGCTCAGCCTGCTTTGTGAGGACGTGGAGGTCTACGTTGGTGAACGCTGACCTCAAAAAGCTACCTAGCTGCCTGATGCACTCAGAATCTCTCAACAACAGCTTCTGCTGACATGTTCCCTGTCTTAACGAGACAGTCTGGCTCCGAGAAAGTGGCTCTCAACGAACCTGCTTATGAGGCATGAGGTGAGACGTTATTTGTTTTTCTCTCTCTACACCATAAACTTCGGGCCCCTCAGCCACGAGTACTTGCCTGACCATACAGTCTTGGGCAGAAGATGTTTGATTGCATCCACTCTGAACCACAAACAGAAAGCAGGCACATCATTTGATTGCATCCACTCTGAACCACAAACAGAAAGCAGGCACGTCAAGGCACAAAATCCGCCGAAGGCACCAGGTAGACCCACAGCTCTGCTATTGCTTGTGGCTCGCCTCCTGCCAATTGGTCTCTCTTCAAACTTCAAACCCTACATCTTTAGCAACACCACGCCCTGCACCCAGTGAACATGACCCAAACTCTGCTGCTGGCGCTTCCTGATTGTAATGCAAGATGGTAAGATCCAGCTTGTCCTCACTGGACAACCTCAAGTCTGTGGTGAGCTGCGTGCCAGTCACGAATTTCATCGAACAACTGAGACCCCAGCTTCTTAGTCATGTCCTGGTGGCAGCTTTCGGATCAGATCTCTCTAGTTCTCACTAAAGCTTCACGGGGTACCAAGACTTCCCAGGACACGGTCCTCTGCTCCCAGAGTCACACCTCCAACTGCCAGGATCCGGTCTCCAGCTACCACTTGAAGAGTGGGATGAGCTTCATTCCACTCCTTCAGGAGGCCGTCAGAGAGGACCCTTAGGGCACAAAGATGCATAAAACAAAGGGCCAAAACTCAAATATCAACTCGCAAGAAGGCTACTACATAAAGTTCAAGAAGCATTTCAACGTCTTTGTTCATACGCACTGTGGCTTAAAAACGTCCGTAACAGGTACACCTTGCCACGCAGAAGCTTGGAGGCAGATTTGGAGGATTTGGAGAAGGCTGGTTTACCCTGCGAGCCTGTCTTTCATCAAGCATGCGGTTACTTGCTTTGGTTCAAATGAATGTATGCAACCAGCAAGCTCACGCTTTGCAACTCCTTTTCGAACCTGTCTTCAAACATGAGCGGGAAAAGGGGAAAGGGATCATATTCACTGCAAGCGTGTTGGCTTGGGCTTGGACACAGCTGCAAATCCAAGCGGCTCGTTGATAACCACCCCTCTGGAGGATTTCCTTAGCTTTGCCATTAAAGTAGGTACACAAGAAATAGTTGGTGCATGCTGCCTTCTGAATGTGCTCAACAGTTCTTTCTGCGTTGGCTTGGTTTACACTGAGTATCGAGCCTTCTGTTTGGAAAAAACTTGAGAAAAACGAAACCTGCTTCTCTGCTGGAAATACTGTAGACAACAGCACCAGGAGCTCATCGAACGTTTTGAATTCTAGTTCTAGGCATCTGCCGCTGGCTGGACAGGTGTTTAGGGTTGAGGCCTCCAGGATTGTTCAGCTTGCAGGGTGGTGTAGTATTCTAGGGTTCGAGGTTTCTAGGCTCAGGTTTTTGGGCCTCCAGGGATCACTCACAACAGCCGAAGCAGTTTCAAGACAATTGCAATACTTTGCCATCGGGGGCCACCAAAGCATTTTGGCAAGCTTCGGTCAGCCTGAAGCTTTTTGAGCTCAGGGTGTCAGCGCTTAGCATGTTTAAAGGATCCTCCTCTCTAAGGTTTCACAGTTGCAGAATGGTTTGCAGACTTGGGCTTTAGGACGCTTACAATGTGTAGCTTGCTGGCTGGATGGCTTGTCGGCTGCAAGGAAATAAAAAAAATCTGATGAGCAAGAATTGGAGAACATCAACACCAAGGCAGCCCACTCCACCGGCAGTACTAGATGTCTGCCCAGCGGCTTGTAGTGAAGTTTGACACCTAGACCTCAACAACAGCAGGGGTGTTGCAACTGTGCAGCTGATGCAGTCACAGCTTATGCCAGAGCACTTGTTGTCCGCTGGAGGGAGATCTCCCGCTGCTCTGGCCGCCGAAGGGTCAACTTGATGAGGTCCCCTGCACGGGCTCATGCGAGGCAGGCCATGAGCTACATCTAAGTGCGGAAGATGACATTAAAGAAACGCAACATCCATAAGGTGAGTGTGTGAGATATGACATCTCGCTTAGAGTCCCACGCTTTTCGTCCATTATGTGTCTCGGTAACGATACGCAGCTGCCTGTGCCGACGATTTTGGCCTCGAGTTCCTCAACAGTCCCCTCCTGATCAAGACGCGCATCACCAACTGGCATGCACGACTTTCTGCCTTTCTGTACCTCTCAAACTCAAGGGTGGCTCCCAGTGAGACCAATCGTCTTCTCACTTCACACCGTTACAGAATCATAGAGCAACAGCGGCCTCATCGTTGACAGCATAGAGTTTATCCTCGGCGGCAACAAGAAGTTGCAATTGCTTAGCAGCTTCACTTTAACCTGAGCTGCGTGCGGACGAGGGTCATATGGTCTCACAGATTTCTCGGGATTGGCACGGTTCCAATCAGCCAATAAGCCATCTTCTAGGATGCTCTTGACCTTGGCAACTCTCTCTAAACTTGATTTTGAAATTTCCTGGAACCAAGCAAGCACGATCTTGTAAACTGTGCTGCGCAAAGTTATCCCAGGGATATAAAGAATATCTGATACAACAAAGCTTCAAAGAAGCTTGATATGCCTAAGTTCCCTGCGGCAGGCAACCAAAGCCAGAATGTACTTCAATGCTTTTGTACAACTTCCCGGCCGGCAGATCCCAAGGCGGCAGATCGCAAGGCGGCAGACCACTAGACCACGTCTTTGACATTGACGAACGACCAGAAACCCAAGGCAGAATCCCACCTTTTCAGAGTGCTTTTCCATCCCTGGAAAGCTAGCACCAGTCACTGCAACTGGGAGACCAGTGCGCAACGGAAAGACAAATATCAACAAAGCAGCACAAAAATGAATGGCATCCAAACTCATTTGACTCCAATGCTGGCCTCCAGTCAACACATGAAAGGTAACTTTGCCTTTCGTTTCATCCCTTATTAAACCCCCCTAATATTAAATACGGGTTCGCCATCTGCCCCCAAGACTATTTTTGAAAGGGCCAAGACTAAAGTCAATTGCGGCTCGAATCCTCTGAATTAGGGGAGGTTTTTGCACGACTCTTAAAGACTTGGGATGTCCTTGATTTCCTAGATTTGGACTGTTTTTGAATCGTTTTCATGGAGGATCTTAAATAGAAGGATTCCAGAAACAGGTTCCAAGGCCCTAATTTGGAATAGTCCCTGCGAAGGCCCTGCTTTGGGATAGTCCCTTAGAAGGCCGAATTTGAATCAGTCCCTGTTAAGGCCCTAATTTGAAGTAGTCCCTAATAAGGCCCTAATTTGAAATTGTCCCTAATGACGCCCTATTTTGAATAATCCCCAAGAAGGCCCTATTTTGAAATTGTCCCTAATAAAGCCTCGATTTACAATACTCCCTAATAAGGTCTTAATTTGAAATGGTTCCTTATAAGGCCCTAATGTGATATAGTTCCTAATAAGGCTCTGACTTGGAAATAGCCCCTAATAAGGCCCAGATTTGAAATAGTCCCTTATTAGATTAAATTGAATGTTATACTATTTTAAGCAGATTGATTTCAAGTACCCCTCTAATGTTCGGGTCGTACGATGAATACGCACCCTAATATCAAATACGATTCCGAATATTTACGCTGGACGCCAGGGGGGGGCCATTTACATTAGGGGGAAAGCATTACTTCGCTAGCTGAAAAGTGGGCCAAGGTAGTTGAAGGTTTGAGGGGAGATGTGGACATGTTCTTGGCGAAAAACAACTCGAAAGCTTGTCAACGCGTCCGGGGTTTCTGACGGAATGTCTGCAAATATGGGCTCAAAATATGTACAACTGAAGCACTCCGGATGCTGGCAACTCCTTTTCTTACCTATCCGAGACAAGTTCAGCAACACCAACGTCCACTGAAGTTCCTGATCGAAAGACTAGGCTCGTGAACAACAAACTCTTGACCACGCGTTCCTTGAGCTGTCCTCGCACCGCAGTACTATGAGAGAAAAGCTTCATGCAGCCAGTGGGACCATGAGACCGCGCCCAATGTCTGTGGCGTCCAAGTCAACGCCCAATTTTCCTGAGCTCCACCACTGCTTCAGGAATTAAGGTAGGAACGTGCGAATGCCAACCTACATAAGGGCAAGTGACGACCGTCGGACTTTAGCGTCACCTCACATGCTGTACACATGCTCTGCGGGTGCTTAGAGAAATCTGATGACTTACGACAACCGGCCGGACCCCTCCGGGCCTCAAAGCTGCGCGCTTTTTGAGTTGTGGCTGGGAAGGAATACGCCTCATCACTGGCTCGCCTGAGTGAAGGGAGAGCTCCAAGCGCAAGCGAGGGGGAGTCTGAAAACGGCATCTCAAATGCAAATTCTGAACACCAACTGCCAAGTACGAATCGAGCCAGGTCCATACTTCTCAAGGCCCAGCAGCTCCCCATCCTTGTCGAAAGAGACCTGATCAACAACTCAGCCGTTCACATCGTTTCCGATAGTAGGCTGTGCCGTTCAACCGTCAGCCTGAAGCTCGTCTCGCTTGTCAGGCTCTGTGCAACAATACATGGACACCTGCAAAGCTGGTGAGGACAGATGTTTCACATCTCAAGGACAGTTTGTGACTGCGTGCCTCAAGCACTGAGTCTACGGCTGTAACGATACATTCTCGAGCCGAAACAGAATATCACAGCTTCTTGCTGCACCGTGCACAAGAAACCGTGCATTTGGCATCCCCAAACTGCACGGGAACCCCGCATCCCGTCTGTCGTGACGCAACCTACAGACAGCCTGACGCAGACCAAAGCAAAATGCCAATCGAGTCGCGGCCTCCACGAAGCGCTCGGCGTCTGTGGGGTCCTCTGCCATCCACATGTCATGTCTGCCAAGGAATCCAGTGAGGGTTTTGTTTGACAAGTGCGGCGCACGATCAACTTCCCAAGTCTCCTTAAGATTTTTTTCAAGCCAAAAGTCTTGATCTTGGGGCGAAGGATGTGCCAATTGTTGAAGGCTTGGGATTACTACTCTGTTGTCGGCCGGGCATGAAACTTCCAACAACGGCAGAGAACCACAGCACTTCCAGAATGGATGGGGTGGGATAGCCGGAATGTAGGTGCAACAGAGCTTCCACCCAAGGATGAACCCTTCAGGTCAAAACACCGACTGCACGGTCCCGGAAGTTGATGAAGGCGTAGCCAACACTGTTCTTGTTGCGCATGTCCTGCAGACTTCTCTCTCTGTCTCTCTCTCTGTATCTCCAAGCTGGCACTAGTAGTCTGCCAAAGTATGACGTTCATCATGTCAGCTTCTCGGTGAACATGTCAAACTAATCCACAGCACTGCCCGTCATGCGATTCTTCATCTCAATGCTGCTAGTTCTGCATCAAGCATTGCGATGTTTTAAAACCTGGTACACAGGGTAACAACTTGCATGCTCGTCACGTTCACGGCAAAGGCTCCATCGGAAAGTAGAAGAAGTCGTAACACCCATCAAATCCCAGCCTCAATTTTGCAGGGATTTGCTCCGTCCAAGGACCCCAGTCATGATACAAATGCAACTTACGACAACAAGCAGTAAGGCTGTTGCTGGTCAACTTCTTGCATCAAAGACCCTTGTGTATACCTTCAAACTCACCGCACTTCAAAATGCGAACTGCAAGCAGCACAGAAAATTTGCATCAGCAGCTTGTTGCAGTTACAACACATTGGCAGGGTTAGACGGAGCTACCTGCACGGGATGTTGCGCAACATGACCGTAGAAACAGGCCTCAGCTGCTCTTCAAAAGTTTTGCGTTGCCCACCATGCGGAAAACAAGTTGTTCTGGTGCTAAGCCTCGGGCATATTGTCAGCGAGCTCCGACACGAGAGTTGACGCCTTCCCAGAACATGATTCGCATGCCAAGGGAAACCATATTCAAGCCGGAAGCCGTCATAAGTGCGCATGCACCACAGCTGATCCGCACTCCAACTACAACGGGCACTCGTGGAACCGCGCACGCGTGGTAGGGCTCGAAGACATCCCTGCGGACATGAGATCCAAGCCACATGATTCTTGACACTGCTGGACTAGGCCAGGCTGGAGAGGGCAGAACAATCAAAGCAACGAGACTGCCCGCCTCAAACGTGAACGGCTGCGGTGCCGTCGACGTCTCCTTCGTCTGCCTTTGGGTGCAGCTCACCAAAAGATTAACAGCATGGGATACCATTGACTGACGATCAACCGGAACTCTGAATTTTTCTGCTGAAGCAGCAGCAAAACAGCGCCTCGTGCTTTTGATTCATCCTTTTCAGAGTTGTCGCATGGACACGCCTCAACAGAAACCTTTTGCCTGTCGCACCATGGACACACATTTGCCTCCCTTGGCGTTGCTGCCTCAGCAGGAGAAGCCATGCGTGGAAAACATCTCAAAAATTTCGTTTGGCGACATTGTAAAGCAAGTTGACCACAATGCTCTATGCTTCGTTTGTCGACGCTCAGTTTTTTACGGAATGTAGTTTACATCTCTCATAGTTTGCTCCATTGCATGCTTGAGCAACAAATGGTCCAGGGACATGTTTGGACTACAAACAACGATGTGTTTAGACAAATTGGTGCGTCTGCGCTGCAACACAGGCCTGCAAAATAGATCTCCAAATTTGGTGGCCACACAGGCATTCCTTGCACCTGTGTTGAAGAATCATTCAAGAATCAAGCTGATGTTCCGCAAGCTCAAGACAACTCTTGGTTTGTTAGGTTTGTTTTGCATGGTTCAATCCAAACGTGACTCGTTCAAGCCAAATGTTCAAATTACATTTTTCCTCCACGCTGTTGTTATTTCGAAAAAACATGCACCTGCACATACAACATGTGAAAACTCATACCGAAAAGGACGTCTGAATTCACAGTGGCGTTCCAACGCGTGATTGTTGGAAAACGGATACACACATCTCTTTTCAACATGCAGGCCACAGCCGGCTGTGGGGTGCAAAGGTTACGTTTTGTTTTCCGCATGGGAACCTGTGGCCTCGGCCACCCCCATTCGAGAACAGCATGTCTTTTGTGGATTAGTAAGCCACGCCATTTTTCTGGGCATCGGGCTGACCTGACAGTGATCAAGAATATTTTTGGGAAGGCGGCATGTTTGGGCACAACGTCAAACAAAGGCTTGGAATCGATGCGAGCAGGCGCGCCACCAACCATCAGGTGCAAAGCATTGCAACTGCAATCCTACACACGAAACTTTACCCACTAGAAGCATTTCTCAGACCTCCGCCAAACATCGAAAATCAGCGTGATGTCGCAGCGGGACGGCGAACAGAATGTTGAATGAATGGTGGAAATGCCAGTGGGTCAGACCAGCAACCCACCACAACACACGGCAAAGCAGGCGCAAGCGGAGGCCTAGCAGCAGCAGATGCTATGGCAGAGGGCGCCGCCGTAGGCGTCGGAGGCTGGATCAGCACGTCACAGTCATTTGCCTGGAGCAGTGGGACATGACTGAGGTCCGACAGCATTGGCCACACCACCAAAAGGGCCCAAGCATACATAGTATGCTTCGAGACCATTGCTCAGCTGGCTCTCGCAATGACCGCCGTCTCCCGCATGCACGCGAAGCATTTTCGTTTTGTTCTGCCCTCCGCCTCAGATAATACTGCAGCAGAGGCAGGCATAAACCGTCTTTTTACCACCTCAGAGCCCCTTAGCAGCTTCCTTAAAACAGTCGCAGAGTGGTCAGCGTACGCGCCTGGCACTTACACACTTGGCAGGCGAGAAAAATGTCTGGGCAGATGAGCTCAGCAGAAATCGCACTCATCGCTTTGCGCACCGCACGCATGAAAGGGAGTGCATCTCCCTCTCCGCACTGGCCTCGCCGCGAGGCACAGCTACTGCACCCCCCGCATGCAGCTTGGGGTGAAGAGCTCAAACGAGCGCAGCACCCTTCTTGAGACCTCGCACGCAGAAAAAAAGGACCAATCAGTTTGCCGCATGCAGTTGGCTGCAACAGCCTCTACTCACTTGCTCTTACCGCGTGTCTTGAGTTCTTGTGGCCTGCATGCATGCAGGTACCCAAACTCCTCGGATGCGGAAGGGGACTGAGTGCATCCAAAGTGAGATGCTTGGCACCTGAAGTGGAGGTAACATGCTTGCCCTTCTCTTACGCAGTCACATTCCCAAGCATCTCGTGCCGAAAAGAGTGAGTGCTTTGGCTTTAGGTGCAGTGTTTGGTTTGCCACGCGTAGGAACATGATTGAACAACATGGCGCTGATCTTTTCCTGCGGCTGGACACTGGCGTTACGCGGCGCAATGCAAGAGCTCCGTCTGTTTGCTTCGTTTGCTGCGCTTCATGGAGCCCCATCATATCGGATTGGTCAGACATTCCAGTGTTAATATCTGTGTGTTTGTCTTACGCAACAGCAAAGCTGCAGCGTGTTACGTGCCTGCTGCAGGCCTTGGCTCATAGCCTCATAGCGACTGGCCTGAGTTTCAACACTTTGAACATTCAGTGCGTGGGTTGCGAGAGTTTGCCTGTCTTCCCCAGCCCTCTTGCCTTCAGCCTTGGACTTTCGCGTGTAGGCGTGAAGCAACGTGTTCCTGTCGTACATTTTGTTGGGTTGTGTGGGTGCTTGGATGCAACCCATCTCCTGCCTGTAGTTGAGTTCTGCAATCATTTTCATTGGCCCGTCTGGCCCGACTGGCCCTCCCGCCTGTGGCAGCATGCTTGCCTTTCCTGTCAACGGGCAAAAGCTTACCCGGCAGAACAAAAAAGGTCCTTCTGTCTGCTTCGTTTGCTGCGCTTCTAGGAACCCGAACGTAACGGACTCGTCAGTAGAGCAAACGGATGTGTTTGCGCCAAAGCCCGGACGCAGGCGTGAGAAGCGTGCTTTTTGCACGGCACGCTCTCCATTTTCAATCAACATTAACTTGTTGGCTTTTCGGAAACTACCTGACATGCAACTTTCAGTTTGAACAACCAGTGGGCGAAAAAAAACATTGATCAAATTTCTGATTTGTCCTTCATCAGTGCAGCTGCAGTTGGTCGCGCGAGAAGCATGACGACAGCCAACGGAGGGCGGAGCGGAGGCTCTCATTGCGGAGGTGGATTTTCTGCCTGGATCACCCACTGGGGAGCATGCGAAGAAGAAAGGCAGGGCACATCTGCCTTGCAAGATATTTTCTAAGAACCTACTTCCGTCAGTTGAGCTCCAACAGTGAGACACGCCGAGCGGTGCTTTGCAATGGTGGCCTGCGGAGAGAATGCATCGAGCAGGCGATGCCAATCTCTTGCGTGTATCTGGCGGAGGGTGCTGCCACCGCTGCGCAGGTCTCTGTAGAGCGGTGCCATGTACGGCCCAGGTGCGTGCATGTGCTGGTGGCCCACATGAGAAGGCCAAGGGCTCTCTCCAGGTGCTTGCGGGGAAGCTTCTTGGATTGAGCAAGCGACTCGAGCTGCTCTTGCAATTTGGAAAGCTTGCCAATGGCAAGGTGCGATGCCTCCAATTCGGTGCGCAAGGTCCAACCGCACCAAGTGACGACAATGCCTCACTTGTGCCTTGCGCCAACTCATGGGTGCATTCATGAAGGCTAAGAAGAAGGATAAAAGTAACTTGCTGGGGCATGCTTTGCTCGCACAGCACCTGCACACATCCAGCCGGATCTCACAAGTCCATCGCAGGGCTTAAGCAAGGAGGCACCTATGCAAGCACCCTCACAGCAGAATACCCTGCCAGCCTCGCAAAAGCTCTGGCAACACTTATGCAACCCTTTCCCAGTACGGGCAAACATGCGGTGTTGGTTGATCGGAAATGGCACACCGCTGTCTTCACCCCTCCTGCACTTCCAGTGACTGCCGCCTGCCATCACGCCTGGACAGCCTTTCCGCATCAAGCTACCCGCAAGCTTTCGCCGCACGCTTCCACGATCTAGATAGCGAGTTGGGCACTCTCATGCATCAAGGTGTGCCAGTAAGCATTAGTGGAAGTTATTCTTACCTGAAGAAAAAAGGCAAAGACAAGAGCAAAGGTAAAAAACCTGGCAGAAGGCCATGTCATGGCATGGGGCACCTGGCAAAGAATTGTTGGTTGCCGGCTGTTCAACAAGCTGCTTTGGACACAGCGTCCACTGCAAGCGGTCCCTCTATTGAGCGCTTGAAGCTTGAAGCCTCTTCAAAGCCCTTGAAGCCTCTCTCAGTCTGACCCTTCGAGAGAGAGAATCAAGAAGAAGCTTCTAAGAGAGGCTAAAGAAAGTTGAAGAGGAGGAAGAGTTGGATGCGGAGCCCCCCATGTCATTGTGTAAGCTACTTGAAGAGGGACTTCAAGGGATTCGAAGGCTTGAAGTACTTTAGGGCTTTAAAAGGAGCTTCAAAGCCTTGTTCGTGAACCGAAGTAACTTGAAAAATTGAGATACCAAGACATGACTTGTCAACAGTTTCACTTTACTGAGTTCTCTGAATACTTAACAAAAATACCAGTTTGAGTGTGCGCTTCCAAGGCAACTCTAGAAACCCCAAGCCCAAATCATGGCTTCACTATGCTTGCGGACTCTGACCTGTTGCAAGCTCTGCTGCCCAGCTCTGCGAAATGGAGAATGACTGCTTATTAATTTCTAAGAAGAATCTGGAATTTAATTTAGGTCTGTGATTTATCGGGGTTTCGAGGTAGGAGTGGAGTGGTGGATCAGTTGAGAGTTGACGGATAGGGGTCAGAACTGTCCAAAAAGCTGCGCTCCTGAGGTTTATCGCTGCAATTTGGTTGGATTTTACGGGTGCCAACCAAATAGTACTCGAAATCACCTCTAGACAAATTATTCTTGTTTTAGAAATAAGAATTCTAATTACTTTAGAAAATTCAGTTTTCAAGTCTTTTCTTTAAAATGTTCTAAGTGCCAAAATTTCCCAAGCCTGGGAAAGGGTTTTAGTCAAAACGAAAAGAAAATTATGTCCTCTTCATTTAGGAAATTCAAAGAGGCTTTCAAGAGCGAAAGCAGAAGAATTCAAAGAGAAAATTTAGAACGAAAAATTTTCGCTTCTTAAAAGATATGAACAAAAACATATTGCGAAAATCTAAAAAATTTTGGTGGAATTCTACAATCAGAAGGCAGAGTGACAAAATCTCCACCTGTGGGCAACCAAATCTTTCTCGGTTGAAAGTCGAGATGGTCTGTCAGAAGATCAAGCAAGTAGATCAAGTGCGATCTGATTTTATTATTATGCCTCTTAGAGTTTGAACTTATTCCGAACGTGTTCTAAACGTGTTCCTCCAACGTGTCCTAAAAGTGTTCCATACGTGTTTCGAACATGTTCCGAGGTGTCCAACACTTTTGCCGGATTTTTTTTAGTGTTTTCAACAAATAAAGGAACAGCTTGAGATGTTCCGGAAGTTCGATGATTTTGATTGTTTTTTTTGGTAGTTCGAAAATTTAAAATCAGCTGCGCGGGTTTCGGACTGAGGGTTTGGGTTTGAAAACAACTCTGATTAACGAACATAGCTTTTGTCGTGTCATGAGTCCGTATCAACTGACCAATTTTTTCCTGGAGGCTTTGTTCTGTTCAACATCATTTTACTGCGCGTGTCATCTGTTTCTGCGTAATTTTTTAAGTACTTTTGCGTCTTCATTGATGCTCCTGTCCCAATTCTTTTCCTTGCCCCTCTTTTTCTTTGCCTTGTCTCTTGCCTTTGTCCTTTCCCGTAGCCTTTGCCCTTTGACCAGTCTTCCTTTCCCTTTTCCCTCCTTTGCCTTTTCTCGATCTCCAGCGGCAAACCTCCGTCATCCACGAAATCATTCTTTCCCGCTACCAAAGGAGCCGTTTGAGCCGCACATGCCCATGATCGTTGAGCATGACAGTGATCGAGAAAAGGGTTTGACGATTTTTGCATTTGAGAGTGATTGCGTCCAGTTTTCGACATGGCAGCAGATGATGAGTGGACATTCTTTCAAGAAGATAGCTTCAATCTGCTGAGTCAGGATGATTGGTCCTGTGAAGGTGCGCGTATATTGGCGATTTCCAGCGGAAGAGGAAGAGCTACAGATATTGTGATGGATAGCGGACGCCTCAGTGCTTCCTTTCAGTTTCATTGGAATGGGTGAGCCGGTGCAACCTGAAGACGCAGGATTTTCTGACGCTCAGGAACATTCCTTGAAGGCCTTCGACTGGAGGCTTTGCACTGTGGAGCTTGGTAATGTAAGAATAAAAGAACGTTTTCTGGTGAGCAATGTTACATGTCCGCTTTTGGCGAGCGGTAAACTTCACAAAGCTGGCTGGGGCACAGTGAATGAAGACAATGGTCCTGTGTTTGTGCATGGAACTGAGAAGCGTATCCCCTGCTGGTATAGACACAACGGTTTGATGGCGAGTGCGCAAATCAGAGTGATTGCAAAGCATGATAATGATGAGCGCAGAGCCCATGAAGAGTCCGGAGGACAAGTTCAACAGGACAAGTCAGCAGTTCGACAGGACAAGTCAGCAGTTCGACAGGACAAGCCAGTGCCGTGACTGGTGAGAATCATGATTCAGGTGCGATTTTCGAGACTGGACCAGGCAGGATCAATGCAGTGATGCATGTTCGGTTGTCAACAGTCCTTCAGCGCATGATTCGGCATGGTGATTATTTTGCAGAGCTGATTCCTGGAGGTTTTGGAATTCGGTGCAGAAGCAGCGCGTTCTTGGACATACATTTGCTTTTGCCACATGATGGGGTGAGCTACAGAACTACCTTGATTGGGGTAGATGGACAACCTGGAAAATGGGAGATTTTAAAGTTTTGCGAAGATGTGGATCAGCTCGAAGGTCCAGCGTTGGCTCTGCCAGGGATTTCTGTTGAAGTCGACATGATAGTTTTGGCAACGTGTGAAATCATGACACCTGTCCAGTTAGGATTGGAGGAACTGAGTGATCCGGTGAGCGTGCCAGAGATGGTCGAACATGCTGACCATGACATGCTGGAAGGTTCAGACATGGCACTTGAGCAGTTAGTTGATGATGGGTTTGATGAACCTGCCGAGGCATCAATTAATGTTCGAGATCAAGCAGCTGTTGATGCGTCTTTTCATGACTACGATTCAATCAGAGATGAGATTGTGGTCGATGGAGTGACTATCAGGCCGGACTCTGCGTTGAGAGTTATGCGGCAAGCTTGTGAAAACCTTGGAATCGGCAGAAGTGGGGGAAAAGTCAAGGTTTACAAACGTTTGACTGAGCATTTGAAACGCATGACACTTCTGGAGCAGAACCAAGCAGCCGCAGCAGCACAGCAGCAACATCAGAGAGATGCGAAGGAAGTTCCCGATGGTCAGAGAACCCAGTCTTCATGAGCGTAATACACACGCCCTCACGCATGTCCCGTATGCCAACTGGTGTGAGACATGCGTCCAACACAAGGGTCGATCAGACAAACACAAGGCAGTTGCCAAGGACAACAAATCTATATCAACCTTGAGTTTCGACTACTCTTTCACTGAGAGGCCGAATGAAGCTGAGCAAGCAAGTGCAGAGAAGCTCACGTGTTTGGTATTGGCCGACAGACACTCCGGTTGGAGGGAGGCGATACCGTGTAGGACAAAGGCGGCCGATTCTTACATTGTCACGGAGGTGGTAAGGCTACTCAGCTATCTCGGGCACGGGGAAATCTGCTTGAAGAGCGATGCTGAGCCTACATGTAAGGCGTTGCAGACCAAGATACAGGCCACTCGGGCAAAAACTGGGTTTGAGGACGGTCCTTGAATATGTTCCGGAGGAGGAAATGGCGTCCAATGGGGCGGCCGAGCAGGCCGTCGAGACGTGCCGGCAGCACGGGAATATCTTGTTAAGCGAGTGCGAGAAAGCAACCGGCAAGAGGGTGAGTACAACGCACCCCCTACACAGTTGGGCCACGCGCCATGGCTGCTGGCTCACTAATCTATATCATGTTCAAGGAGGCTCGACACCGTTTGAAACAGCCTTTCAGAAACCGTATGATGGGAAAATCGTTTGTTTCGGTGAGGCAGTGCTGGGACTTGTGCGTACATCAATAAAAGGGGCGGCCAAGTGGCTTAAGGGCCTTTGGCTGGGCAAGGCAGCAGTCAACGACGCCCATCTGATGTGCACTGTTGGTGGAAAGTTGGTGTTGTGCAGAAGCATCCGTCGAACCGTATATAAATCGTTTTGACCCAGAATTGCATGATGCAGTCAAAGACTTTCCGTGGCAGCTTCCGGGTTTTGTGGCCGGTAGCGGTGGCCGTGTCAAACTTCAAAAGACTGGTAAACCTGTTGAAAGTGAGGCGCCAGATTCTGGAGTGTTGCAAGCACCTGTCAGTCCTGTTCTTGCAGAGTTTGATGCACTGGAAGCCAGAGGAGATATTAAGCCTAAGCCAGGGCCTGATGAGGCAGGCTCAGATGCCACTCCACCGACAGGTGGAACGCGGCAGCCTTGAAGGTTACTCGCCTAGTGAGGCAGCGGTTTCTCAAGAAGGAGCTGGAGCTATGAGCACCAGTTCGAACAACCCCGTAGGCGGGGATGATGGGCCAAGTGGCAATGACGGCGCAGGCGGGGATGCAGTTGCAGCACCCATGGAGTTGAATGTTGAAGACAGACAAGCGCCTGAGGGTGAGAGAGCCAATAAAGCACCACGCATTTCCGTAATCAACCACTGTGAGTCCATGGATCGTTTTCATGCAGATGAGGTGTTGGTGCCTGAGTTTCCAAATGATATCCTGGACAATCTTCAAGACTATGATTTGCGGTTTTGCAAAGAGTCAGATCCCATGGATGACATGTGGGATGACAATGGTGATGAAGTCATAAAGACAAGCAACATTCCTGAAGAATTGTGGTTTCCATTTGCTGAGCAAGAGCCTTTGCTAGCTGGTGGTGCTTTGGAATCCTTGGATGAGATCGGCGACTCCTATGAAATCAATCGGTTACTTGGTATGGGTGTGTTAAGATCGGTTACGAGTGATGAAATCAGGTCCCATCGCCTCTTGAGTACGAAAATGGTCAGAGGCTGGAGAGTGAAGGAGCGCGAAGGGCAACCATGGTTTCTTCGGAGGTCCAGATGGGTGGCCCGAGAGTACACGTGGTTGGATCCTGAGAAGGAGATCACTTTCGCTCCGGCATCCAGTTCGCTCTTGCTGAGACTGTTGCCGAGTTATGTGATGCGGAAGCGCAACGGCAA